GGTTCATGTATTCAAAACACCAATAAATGTCACTAAAACAAATATAATCGTTGTGATTATTATGCATTTGAAACTTTCAAGGGCATATTTATTTTCTTATAAAATATAAAACATTGCAATGGAACATTCTGATTTGTTTCCTTTGTATCATTGTTGGATTTATGTTTTGGATTGATCTTGATTTAGCTTTACTCTTGTAGTATCAACATGCCTGATCCTGGTCTCTCCTGAGCACGCCTGACTCTAGTTCCTCATCAGCACACTTGATCCTAATTTCTCATCAGCACACCTGACTCTAGTTCCTCATCAGCACACCTGATTTTAGTTTCTCATCAGCACGCCTGATTCTAGTTTCTCATCAGCACACCTGATCCTAGTTCCTCATCAGCACACCTGATCCTAGTTCCTCATCAGCACACCTGATTCTAGTTTCTCATCAGCACACCTGATCCTAGTTCCTCATCAGCACACCTGATCCTAGTTTCTCATCAGCACACCTGATCCTAGTTCCTCATCAGCACACCTGATCCTAGTTCCTCATCAGCACACCTGATTCTAGTTTCTCATCAGCACACCTGATCCTGTTCCTCATCAGCACACCTGATTCTAGTTTCTCATCAGCACACCTGATTCTAGTTTCTCATCAGCACACCTGATCCTAGTTCCTCATCAGCACACCTGATCCTAGTTCCTCATCAGCACACCTGATTCTAGTTTCTCATCAGCACACCTGATCCTAGTTCCTCATCAGCACACCTGATCCTAGTTCCTCATCAGCACACCTGATTCTAGTTTCTCATCAGCACACCTGATCCTAGTTCCTCATCAGCACACCTGATTCTAGTTTCTCATCAGCACACCTGATCCTAGTTCCTCATCAGCACACCTGATCCTAGTTCCTCATCAGCACACCTGATTCTAGTTTCTCATCAGCACACCTGATCCTGTTCCTCATCAGCACACCTGATCCTAGTTCCTCATCAGCACACCTGATCCTAGTTCCTCATCAGCACACCTGATCCTGGTCACACTGGACCTTTCATTAATAGTAAGAATTAGTCAGCCACAAGCCAGTGCACATGAGTCAAAGGGAGACGAGGGAATACTGTAGTGGGGGGTCCAGCATGGGGGGAAGCCATTGTGTGTTTGTGTAGACAAAGGTGACCATTGTCAGGCTGCAAACACTGACCCCTGTGGTTTAATTATTATTTTAGCATCCACAGCTATCATGCATGTTCAATAAAATCAGATGTTTTGACTTTGATCATAGGATCCAGTTATGTTATAAAGCCACAAAGCAACATCTTATTTAAATGCCACTGAATGGAAGATCTTACGCCAAATCTGAACGCAACAACAAAAAAAGATGTTAAAAATATCAGTAAATGAGAAAGAAGCTCATTTGGATGTGTCGCTTCATCAATACTCAACCTGATTTCCACCCCCTGGATCAAATCAGAAGATCAATATGTTCAACTTAGCCCTCATTGGAAACTGCATTCTCCACGCTGACCGTGAGTAGCATCAGCCCGACATCCTTTAGAATATTTGCTAAGATAAAATGTGCTGATTTCTGCGTATCGGCCACCAAATTGTCTGCTGAGTTCTGTTTTGTAGAGCCGTCGGCGGTGACTGCCAGCAGCTCTGTGACTGCTGCTTTATGTCCCCTTTAAAGCCCTCTTTCAGAGAGGAGCAGATTCACAGAACTCTCTGTACAGCCATGATAGCCTCATTAGCTGCTTCCTAGTCTTTGTTGCTTTTACAACAGAGATGTGTGTTGAGATTCTCATTAAAAGATGGCCTTCTTTATATTGTCTGCTTCCTCTGACAGTCCCCTTAGATTGAACGCCAGCAAATCAAGCTATTTATTTTCCTTTGCCCTCTTTTTACCCCCTCCCCTTTCTCTCCTCTGCAAAAATCAATTGAAAGATTTTTTGTTTTGCTGGTACAAAAGCCTGTTGATTTGAGAAGTGGCAGTAGCCGGCGAGCTGGGAATACAGCTCTCTTCCTTCCCCACTGGAAGTATCTGACTGCAGACGGGATTGCTTTGGGCCTGAGCAGGATAAGATTAGCTGTAAACATCTTTAGGAAATTTATAAAGAAAGACTGAATCCAGCTTATCCGGCTGACACCAACTCCATTTCTTAAACAAACAGAAAAGGCGAGGTGACCTTCTATTTATTTGGCACACGAACAAAGTCGTTTAACTCTTTTGCTTGCGAGAGTATTAAATTTAGCATGACAGGGACACCTTCATGTTTGCTTCAACAACAACCAAAAATCTTTGACCTCCATTTTCGGGGCAATACGCAGAATGGGGCAATTTATCACCAGCCCAAAAATCTCCAACACTAATTAATTACAACTAAGTAAAGAATGTTTGGAGAGCCAAATTGCTTTAATTCCCCAAACACAAGTTGAAAGTCATTCATTATCAAATGTGTGCTCAAAGGTTGGTTTGCTTTTGTAAAGACGAGATGAGCATTAATTTCGGAGTCGACCGTGTTCCCCTGTGAGGGGAACAAGCCAACGGTTTGTCAAGAGGCCGTGCATCACGGGTGGCACGTTCATCGTTGGGTCTTGGGGCTTTTTTGTCTGCTTCACCCCGAAAGCACCCTCACCTTAAATAAATGTTTAATTCAGTGGACGAGGCTTTTGTTTAAAAACACACAAAAGGGTTTAAAGAGGCAGACACTTGAAGAAGAATGGCTTTCGAGGCTTTCGAGAGCCTCGATTAACAGGCCCAACGAGCGTTCAGAATCATCGACCGGTCTGGAGGTGTGTAAAACTTCCTCTGAAAGTCCGAGGGGAAACCGCTCACTGCCTCGAGAAGACTCTCCCGTCTGAAACAGCATGAAGAAAACAGATGGGCTACTTTCAGGAAGACACCGAAACTCTCTTTTGAAATAGTGGACAATTGGCCGTATCGAGGCCATCTCCTCATTTATTTCTCCAAATACGCAAAAAATAAAGTTCAGAGCTCCTCCTCCTGCTATTCACAGGTTCACCCACAGCCCCACACTGGTTGAATTTTAAGCAGTTTGACTGAACTAGAATAAGAAGCACTTGAGATGAAATCCATCTCTTGAAAGAGAATTCATCAAAGAAATGACTTCCCATATCAACAATAGAAATTACCTCACAATATGCAATTGTCCTTTCCGCATATTCAGGGAAGCCTTTGGTGTTTTTATGGGGTAAGAGGGACTATTTAGAAGGTAATACAGAATTAATGTGCAGGAGAGGAAGAAAAAAAAGCCCACACTTTTAATGGAAGTGGCTTTTTGCCTCTGAATTTCGATGATGTGCACAATGCCCCTAAATCTTTTTCTTACCGGCGGTACTTTTGAGCCCTAATAGGATAAGCAGTGGACACAAAAGATTTTTATCTCTCAACTCTTTCAGTTCACTGAGAATCCCAATCTCTGGCAGTGAGCTCTTCATGAATCATTCATTTCTAATAGATTATGCAAATTTCAGGGGCATGAAATCAACAAGATCAATAAGTGCCGGCATTTTTAATTGGCGCTCGGAAAACATTTTAAGGACGAACGCGTTTCTCGCTTCTTCCCACCATAAAGATTCATTTGAAAGTGGATCTGGGCCTAAATACTGCAGATAATTCACCACTTTTTGCATGGCTTAAAATTCCTCTGGTAAGCTCATCGCTTGGCAAGTAAACTGTAATACTCAGCCATTAGGGAGACCACACACCTGAACATCACATGTTATCCCCACAGGCAGCCACAGAGGGGAAAACCAACCAAGAAGAGCCACTAACCAAATAGTAATTATCAAGTGAGTCACAGTCATGTTTGTTCCATTAGTTTGACCTCTGTGTGCTCCATTTCTTTGCCTCCTGTGAACTTATTGGCTAAAGCTAAAGCAAGTCCTGTGCTTTCCAAACAGATATGATCACAAGCCCAGCGGTTTTCCTCTTTGCACCTGCGATCAGGTAAGGAGAGCCTTTCTGCAGAGACCATCTAAAATATCCCAGGTGCAAACAAAGCTTCCTGCAGACCTGCCTTCCATAGGGGCCATCAGTACACAAAGGACAAACACACACCTTTCTTCTCCGGAGGCCCGCCTTACAGGGGGAGATCTACCTCCCTCATATTAATGAGAACAGGGCTCCTTCTTTTTCTCATAAGACTGCTTGGCTATCACTTGAGAAGGAGGGCTGGAGCAATTTTCAACCCCCCCTCCCCCCTCCCCCCGCCAACGCCAAACTCATTGCCTTTGATGGCTCGCTGCATAATTATATGAATTTTAATAAAAGCCGTGTGTATTAATCTCAGGCACTTGACAGTCATCGTAAACTTTCAGTAAACTTAACCTTCTTCTTGGTAATAACGCTGCAACAACGAAGCAATATTTCAATTAGCCAGGCAGTCATTAACTGAGACAAGCAGAGAAGACGACCAAAGGGAGAGAATGGGTGGCTAGTGGGTGGGGGGGATGCAAGGGAGCGATAGGAGGGTGAAATAAATGATCATGGTGTTAGAGTAAGGCGGCAGAAATGCCAGAGCGTATTTACCGAGGCACATTACTCGTGCTTTGAGCCACGCAAACTGTCTCCTGCTGGACAAATGGAAGGAGCTGTGCAGCAGAAGCAGCCAGACCTGCATGGTGGTCTTTTTTTTTTTTTTTTTTTTTTTGTAATATATACTCCCACACCAAGACCTTGTCCTGGAAACAGTCATAGTTCTGATGTGCTGACGCCCAAAGGTCCTTGTCCAGCAGTGACTGAACAGCTCCCAATCGTTCTTAACGCGCGGCCCGCTCAGCAAAAAAGCAGACAGGAGACAGATGCTAAAGCTTTTGTAACGGTATCAGCTCTCAGTAAAAGTCTTCACACTCAACTTTTTAGTTAGCCTTTATTGTCACACATTTCTTTTTGCAGTTAGAACGTTTGTTTACATTGGCGAACCTCCCTCCTGCCCTCAGCTGAGGCTGTGGCTCGGCAGCGTAAAGACAAACTGTATGGCGCTTGATCTTACCTACGGGGTAGCTTTGTGACACGCTGGGGCCCAGGTCCGGGTTGGCGCTGGAGGATAAGCTGGGCTTGACTTCGTCCAGGCTGGAATTCAGGACAGGGAGCGAGTACTCATTAGCCTGGGAAAAGGACAGTTGAATCATTACACAACCAAACAATACCAAGATGGAAATCCTCCTTTTTCTCTTCCTCCATTAAGCAGCCCTCGCAGGCCAGTGCGGGGATAAATGTGGACCAGAGCAGTGTGTGTTTGTGTGTGTGCGCACACTGTGTGTGTGTGTGTGTGTGTGTGTGTGGACGCTGCAGGGTGGCAGTTCAAGCATATCATGAATGTATTTTGGTATTGTCTGAGAGGAAGTGGGATTTTGAGGAGAGTGAAAAGCCAGGGCGTCAGCTGGCCCTTTGTGCTCCGCTGCAGTCCTACCCCTGATCAGCCAAGGGAGACAGCAGTTCTGCTTTGTTACAGACGCACCATGTGGTCCTGTTTCAGAAAGACATTCTTTTTCAAATCTTTTTGGTTTTAATTTGGAGCCAAAACAACCTTCAAATGTCATAATCTCTTCTCTCCACATAGAACCAGGAGTGCAGCTTTTTGTTTTCCTCGTGTTTGCATTAAAACAGCCTTCAGCGTACCCAAATGGCTGCAAAAGGCAACATATTTAGCTGGGTTGGAAGTCTGTCAGTTCAGCGGAAATACAGAAAATGGCACATGTGCTTCTTCTTTTGGTAAATGTTGGCATGTGGTTAATACGGTGCAACAGTTGCAAATGCAAAATCAAGCAATGATGCAAAAAGCTTTTACATCCAAGTGATCAAAAGCTTTAACTTCACTGAGGGTTATCTTATTACTCCACACCTGCCACCGGCTCCTAATTACACCAAGACTTATAGAATACAGAATATCCAGATCAAATATTGAATTCGAAGTTTTGGTTTTGAAAAAAGCTGCAGCGAAACAAACAAAACACATCATTTTCCAACTTTTCTGAGCAGTTCTCATTTTAAAAAAATGTCCAAAACAATCACTTCCTGTTCTCTATTAATAGTCTCTTTTTGTAAATATGCCCCAAAGACACCAGCGACAGATGTTAGCAGTTTTTTTTAATAAGATGAGACTTCCGGAGTCTGAGTGTTGACAATGTTTATCCAGAGCCTGGTGTGAGTGGTTGAGTGGGCTGCGCTCCCACAGGGGGGCCGCCTGTGACCCTGCTCTTGTCTGTCACTATCACAGATAAACTCTAATTGTCTCCTACAACTGTTCGCTGGCACAATGTCGGATGTTTTCCTCTATTCTCACTGGCCTCAGACGCCAAACAGACGTTTTATCATGCAGATAAAGGGCAGGACGGAGAAAACTGAAAAGATGGGTCTGAAAGGGATGACCAAATGGCTAGCAGAAGTGTGGGAGGGGTGAATCCATTGAGTTTTGCATCTCCAGAATGGCTTTTTAATGCCTCGCTACAGAACCCAGACACTGGCTAATAGGGCCACATTTTCCACGAAGAAGAAGAAAAAAAGCCACCCCACAAAAGGGAAAGTGCTCTGATTAATATTGCCGTAAATTAAAGCTGATTTTTCGGGGCTGCTTCTCTTTTTTCCTCACCCTCACCCCTTTTTCTAGTCTAAACCTTTCCCTCCTGCCTTTTAATACTCTCCCTGACGCTCTTTGTGATTGCAAGTCATTTCCAATTGGTTTTGGTATTGATCTTCCAGTAGAAATCAGTTTTGTAATTAGCTGCAAATTAGGCCTTCTTCTGGAGGTGAGGCCTGTCCCACTGATTTATCACCTGCGTAATTCGCCCCGATTGGAGAGAAATTAAAATGAACTCAATTAGGCGACTGCTTTATTTTTTTATTTAAACAATTTTTTTTTGCTTTATGTGTCTGGCCTGTAGTTTGGTGAGAGAAATTAATAGTCTCTCGTTGTTTAATAGTATAATGAAAGCTCAGTAAATAATGGTTATTTATTGTAATAAGCTGAGAGGTTCTTAACAAAGAAATCTCTGAGCCATGTTTCCTTTTTTATCATGAATATGAGCAACAACAAAGATAATAAAAGCAACTTTCATGACTGTTTGTCTATAAATAAAAATAGGGCATAAATAGAAAGAAGCAGCAGGTGAAACACATGACAAAATGAAAAAAGAATCTCAATATCGATTTATATAATGTTTCTTTTCTGCTTTTCTCAATTACAGCAGGTACAAGGAATGTGTTTTTCATTAGAAAATCAATAACGTGTGGGAGTTTTCCTTGTGATCCCTCCTGTATTTTGCATGCTCTTACTCTGATTCAGTGTTTAGCCCTTTTAGACGTCTGTTTAATTGCTTCTGCAGAAGGTCTAGGAACCTTTGTGACCATGACATTTTTGTTCCCGTCTGATCTTTAAAAAAAAGTTGGACTGACCTGTTCTGGTTTGATGTGCTCCGGCGTTGGGAAGACGTCGGGGTACGAGGGGCGTTCGAAGACCCGGTCCAAAGCTTCCAGCTGCTGCTGGGTGAAGGCATCTGCCCTCAGGTGTTTCCGTAAACTCTCCACGCTACCCTGAGAATCACTGTTTGGGCCAGAACCATCTGAACCATCTACAAGAAGAAAGAGCAACAATCGAGACACTGACCCCTGGAAGCTGGCCTTCACTTCAAGTTATGCACTTTATATTCCCCTCATGTCGTTTGCTGGTACCTCTACGGGGGATCTGAGGATGGAAAGAAATGGAGTGCAGTTTTTCTTCACCCTAATGGCTTTAGTGAGCCACTGGCTACAGCACACGTGACTTTTCATGCTCAAAATTAGACCCATCATGATCTGAGAGCCCTCAGGTAATTAATGGATTGCCGTCACATGCATAGATATACATGCAGCAGCAAGTGTGTGGTGATAAATGCAACAGCAAGCACATTATAGTGGTTTTTCATTCCACCAAGAGGCCCCACACTCCCCTTTTCTCTCCCAAAAGTCTGATGTTCACTGGAATCGAGTGCTTTTTAAAGCACAATTTCCCTTTTACAATTCAATACTGCTTTTATTCTCTCCAAGCACGCGGTTCCATTTGGAAGCTGCGACAGAGGACAAGAGGCTGAATAAAATTGTATAGTCTGGTTCAATCATCCCACTCTCCAAACACGGGAATTTTCTCTCGACTCCTGACCTGATTACTTGACTGTTGGGAGGAGGATGCCTTCGCTTTCTCCCGCTGTGTGCAAAGCCTTAAACCCTTTATAGACCGTACCTACACACACACACAAACACACACACACACACACACACACACACACACACACACACACACACACACACACACACACACACACACACACACACACTCACACACACACACACACACACACACACACACCTACCATGGCTGCAGTGTCTGCAGGTCTCCTCCCAGATTCCCAGAAAGCCTCAGCTCCCTTACAAATCTGTCATTCTAAATTTGCAGCAGATTATGTTCTTCCCTCTGAGGGAGAGGGGTGATGTATGATATGCAAGGCCTGCTATTGATTGCCTGATGTGGTGGCAGGAGGGAGCTGAAATGAACTTGAAATGAACATCATGCCTCAACTCATTGTGCGAATAATACTCTACTTAATCCTACATTTTTCTCTGCCATAGAATTCAATTGATCAATCATGTCTGTGTGATGGTACCATTTGGGAGGGTTAGCACCGTTTTATTCTGCTGCTTGACCTTTTATCACATGCTGAGGCCCGCGGATGAACCCCACCGTCCACAGAGAGGCTCAAGTAGCTATAATATGTGAATAAGAGTGTGTGTTTGTGTGTGTGTGTGTGTGTGTGTGTGTGTGTGTGTGTGTGTGTGTGTGTGTGTGTGTGTCTGTGTGTGTGTGTGTGTGTTGAAGCATGTGAAGCACTCTTTAAACTGATATTGTGCTGACAGCTGCAAAATAAGGAAGTTGTGAGTTTTCTATAGTGCTACATTTTAAAGGTACAATAAGTAGAAATTCTACAGTGAAATAATCACAAAACAGTCTAATGTCTCAGTCATTGTGGAAGGAGGGTTACATTATTACAGATTTCTTTCTCAGCCGGCTGTGGGGGTTTGTCAAGTTTCCCCCTTTTAAAAAGGCCGAAGAGGGACGTAGAGTAAGTTTACAATCTGTCTCACCTCCATACTTCCATTTGTTTTTATACATAGGCTGTTTCTCAGTGTGTGCTGGTCAAAGTACTGTTCCAATTATCCAAGTATCAGTAACTGGCTCTGTGTGTGTGTGTGTGTGTGTGTGTGTGTGTGTGTGTGTGTGTGTGTGTGTGTGTGTGTGTGTGTGTGTGTGTGTGTGTGTGTGTGTGTGTGTGTGTGTGTGTGTGTGTGAGAGAGAGAGAGAAAGAGAGAGAGAGAGCATGTGGGTGACATCTATTTTAGCTTTGTTATTTTATTTTACTAATATTTTACTAACTCTTTAGTGAGTGCAGAGTCAATTTTGTTGTCCACCTGTGCAATGACAATAAATTATCTAGAATCTATCATGGCAAATGCTCTCAAGGTTCCCTGATGTGTTCTTGCTCTGCTCATTGTATCGAGGATGCATGAATGCATCCTTCTGCAGACTTGGGCCGGCAAGGTGTATTGTGTTTAAAGTTAAATCTCATGGTTGTCACACACACTGGTGAGGTGTGGTGTAAATTGTCCTTCACATTTGACCCATCCCCGTGGGGAGCGATGAGCTACAGACACGGCCGCGCTCGGGAACTATTTGTTGGTTTAACCCCCCAATCCAACCCCTAAAGCTGAGTGTCAATAAAGTCTTTCATATGACCTGACCGGGATTTGAACGCTGATCTCCCAGTCTCAGGGTGGATACTCTAACTGTTATACCACAAATGAAAAATTGCAGGGATGAAAGCTCATAGCTGTAGTGTTTTTATGTCAAAAATATAAATAAATAAGTATAAATTAATAAATATAAACCTGTTTGTTATTGTATTTAATTGTGTGTGTTTGATTATTTTCTGACTCTTCACAATCCTTCAAAATGCAAACTAACCCACTATCGAAATAAAAGCATCTGTTTTGATTAAAAATGCTTTTTTCTTCACAGCGGGAAATGCCGGAATTTTTATCAATTTTTATGTATTTATTTTAAATGTGGACCAAAAAAAATATTGGCTAACAGTTGTTTAAGGGACAAACTAGACTATTATTTTTATTTCAGGTAATTGTTTTAACTTTAGCATCACGCAGCACTTGTTGCCTTGAAGTAACAAAGTACAGCTCTGTTCCAAATGCCGTCCTCGTCCTCCTGTACTCAGTTGAAAGGACTTTCTGTTATACTTGCCGTGAACGCCCTTGACAAGTGCACAAGAACGTTTGACAGTACTTGAGTATTGAGAAACGGGTTAGTTTCATATCCAGCTGGCCGCGGGGACTGTCAATTTTTCTCCTTTCAAAACAACGGAAGGATGGAGATAACAGTTTACCATCAGTGAGTGTGTGGTTGCCATGTCTCCTGCAAGCTACTTCTGCGGCGCCGACAATTGTAGAGTCGTGGTTGCAGTAACCACATTTTACCACAGGATGTCATTTTGCTTCATTTTTACATAATGTACCTTTAAAACATAGTTAAAAAGAAGACATGGATTATCTGGCTATGAAGTTTTTTTTTCAATTTAAAAACAAATTATAACTATAATTATGACTTAACATTTAGAAATTATGTAATTTTATAGTATTTTCTTTAAGTAAATAAAATGTATTCAAGTAGCCCATTCAGAACAATGCACCATTTGTGTGCATGAAGGTGCAGGACTTAAAACATATAATGCAACCAAACACTAGATGGTGCATTTGCTCCTTTGGGCTTCAACTTCCACTTTAAATGTCTCTGTCAAATGATCGAGCTGATAGCTTTAACAAGAGAAATAAATGTTTCTTTGCTTCTATAAATGCCCTACCATGACATTTTTACATTCAAGAGACAAAACTGTCAGCTTTTGATTATTTAAATCTGCTGTTTGTTTGATTCTTTTTTTTTTTTTAGTAAACTTTGACTTTCATGTGTGAACATTTTTTTAGTTTTAACTGGGATAAAAAGCTGCATTCCCAGCTGTTTGCTACAGTTACAAAGCTTGGGCATTTCACTGAGAAAGCACTTCAGATGAAGAGTGAAACATCTTCAGAAATATTAAAAGAAAATGTCTTTTTTATATAAAAAACTCTTGGTATTAGAGAAGAAAACAAAGAAAGCATAACAATTTGCTGCAGCACTTCATTTGTTTTATGCTAATTTTAGTATATTTCACATAAAAAAGAACCAAATAAACTTAAAAGTTGAATTGTTACCATTTCTCATTTCTTGAAATGAGAACATAATTTCTAACATCAACACTTTCTATCTAAGCACCTCTCATGGAACATTTGTGACACTGAAATTTCTCATCTTCATCAGCAAAGCATACCTGTTTCTGCAACTTATGTATGAAGTAATCTAATTACTATTTCTATTGAAATCAACTTCTTTCTCACCATGTCTACGTGTACTGCCATTGTTTCTGGAAGTTAAAGAAATCAGATATTGTATGAATTTAGTTTTGCTTTAGACACTGGAAACTGTTTTGTGCTACATTACAATTAAATGACAAAATTGTAGAAAATGATTTAGTGGCCATTCGAGTCCCTCCATGTTCTTTGGAAATATGACTGAGTGAAAAAGTGAATGGTTCTGTATAATAATTAGCATTTATTTATAATTTTTTATTTAAAAATGTTTAACATTTTTGGCTGAGTTATAAGTTAGTCACATTTGTTACAAGCACAGTCACACACAAGTACAAGCCTGAAAGAATTTTCTTTTTGGACTGTTCTTAGGTGCATTTGTGGTGTTCTTATCTTTCAGCATTAAAATCTGGGTTCGAATGGTAAATGGTGTGTATTTATGGTGCCTTGTTAGGGTTCTACGATCCTCCCCAAGGTACTTCACAACACAATCAGTCATTCACCCATTCACACACACATTCACCCGCTGGTGGGGATGAGCTACGATGTAGCCACAGCTGACCTGGGGCACTGTCGGTTCACTCAATGAAAATTGGGATGGTAGAATATTACCCAGAAGGAAGAAGTAATCCATTCTAGACTCTAAAAACTATCTTAAAGAAAGAAAGAAATGGAGGTTTACTCCCAAAGTGTTGACTCATTTCTTTATCAACTTTCTAATTTCTACATATAAAAACGAACAACATATTGGAATTTTTATATGGTGACGTTTTGATCTAAATCTGTAAATTTTCAGCATATTTTTAGTCCAGCCACATAACACCTCCCAACTTGCTGCAGTTCCTGCTGCTGCTGTGTCACTTTATCAACTTCAATTGTTCTCTTTGCTACCAAAGCAAATAGAGTCATTAATTACTCTCCATCAGCTAGCCTGAGCCACAACACCTGATCAATAACCCCCCCACCCACACACACCATATTTGTCATTCACCACTGAGGAATACACTTCCCACACACAAGACAAACCATCCTGGGTCAAGCTACACACTCTTCCTCCCACTCACACAGAGGACAGATCCATCTGCCCTCGTCACTTCTGACAAACCTGCAACAATTAGAGAGAACTCTA